ATTCCTGCTCTCCCTGCCCCTCCCAGGAGTGCTGGGCAGGGCAGGAGCCCCAGCCAGGCTGACACCACGCCAAGCACCACAGGATTTATTTGCTGTAAGATTTCCGACAGGGAGTCACAACCTGGGCAGGTCAAACAGCAAAAAGGAGGATTTCAATGGGCCAGAGCTCTTCTGACCCAGGGCTGAACTGCATTCCCAGGAACAGGAGAAGCAGCTGATTGAAAGGCAGCCTGTGAAGTGCCTGCAGAGCAGGGAGAGGGGGCACAGGACAGAGGAGATCACTCATCAGAGGCTCCTCGCTCACCCAGGGGCAGATCAAGTGATAGGGAACAGAAACAGCCCATTATCACCTTCAAAAGCCAGGCAGGAAAAGTCAAAATGACATTGAGATTGTGGCACAGTAAAATCCTATTCCCTGTGCCAAGAGCCCAGAGCCACAGGGGCTGAACCTCCTGGAGCACGGCTCCATCCCTGGAGCTGCTGGGAATGGGCTGGGAGGAAGTTCCTGCACAGCTCAGACCCAGTTTTGGCTTCCAGGAGCTGCTGGGAATGGGCTGTGAGGGAGCTCCTGCACTGCTCAGGCCCAGCCCTGACTTCCAGGAGCTGCTGGGATTTCCTTTCCCTGCAAGCCCAGAGCTCTCAGAGGTACCTAAAGGACACCAAGTGCCAGCAGAGGAGTGGCAAGGCCTGGAGCAAGCCCAGCACAGACTAATTAGTCCAGACCTAAATCACTCTGAGGTCCCAAACAAAAGGAAGGGAGCAGGGAACCCCCATCCGAGAGCAGGAATGCAGCACCTCCTGTGATGGTTACTGGTGCAATGGATGCCCAGGAGCTCTGCAGCTGCCTGAGGGGAGCAGGAGGATTTCCCAAGGCTGGAATAAATCAGGGATGTTCCCTGCAGGGCTGCCCAGCAGAGCAAGAGTTACAGAGCTGAGCCTTCCTCCCACGCACCCACTGCTCACACCCTGGCCCAAAATGAGCCAAGCCCTGGGACACAGCCATGGAAATCCACAAAGCTGGGAGGGGAAAACAGGACAGAGGCAGGGGGGGAGCCAGGAATTCACCCACACTGAAACATTCACCACAAAGAAAGGGGGGAGAGGCCAAAATAATAATAATAATAATCATCATCATCATCATCAGTGTCCAAACACACAGACACAATAATAATCTGTGTAGGAACACACAGCAATAATAATAATAATAATAATAATAATAATAATAATAATAATAATAATAATAATAATAATAATAATAATAATACAAAGTAATAATAATCATCATCATCATAGTCTGTGTCGGAACACGCGGGCATCGCTTGGTGCGGGCTCCTGGTCTCCAGGGAAAACTTCCTGGTGTCCATAGCAACACATCCCAAGCCCTGGCTGCTGTGATGGAGAGGAGCTGGGGATGGCAGAGATGCTTTCAGCTGTGCTCCA